CGTGCTTGACATGGCTTACACGGCCCCTAATTAGGGGTAACGTACTCCATCATCTCTGCTATTTCAAGAGTCCACATACTAGCATCATTTTTATTGATATGCTCTTCCTATTTCTATCATAAAAATACTACCGCCCATATGTCTCTCATATTTACCGATATTCTGGTGATTCCCAATTGCAGCAAATGTATTGTGATTTTGTCAAATTGTACCCTATTGATATACCTATATTACTGGAAGAATCTTTTGAAAAACAGAAAAGCTATTTCCCAGAACTGGCAAGTTAAGCGTCAAGCTTTAATTCGTTAGAACATTTCACACATGCGCACATATGTGCCCACCCACGCTACGTATTGGATCCCAATACATAGCGTTGAAGAAGCAATATGCCTTTTCTCTTTCGAGCTGTCTCCTCAAAGGAGTACATGATGCCTCGACTAGCGCTCTCTTGCCATGAGGTACTACTACACACTGAGTGGCATGCGTCAGGACTATAATCATATAGTAGACCTTGAGATAAGGAATAACCAGCGCGCTTTGGTATAGCAACATTTGAGTCTCAAAACTTTCAGCGCTGCGTCTGACCCATATTGTTGGCGATATCTCCACTATGTTCTGCAACAATTCACAGTCGTGGCGAGGCAGATGCGCTTTTATTACCACATAGACCCAACCCGTTTTTTCCCATACCTGAAAATATCGTTTTGCCCCTCCCTGAAAGAGATTGGGACGACGTCGCTTTGCGCCATGACGCATGTTTCATGTAGATCACAATTACCTTCGAGCCAAGAAGGTGCCTTTCAAAATTAGAGGGAGAAGGTATACTTTTTGCAATTAAATATCTGTCATGGAAAGGGAAGTTCTTATCAATAGCTTTGAATTGGTGAGACTCAAATAAAATGACGCGTTTATGTCAATTGGCGTCCGAGGAAAGCCAAGCCAAATAGCAATAGCTGAAGCGTCATAGACGACGTGAAATGGCCCATCGAAACTCGAGAGAACCATAATTGGGTCTGATATAAAGCTTTCTTCTCAGCCGTGAAGGCAGCCTCCTTCGCCACACACCAAAACCATTTTACATCCTTGCCAAGAAAATTGGTGAGGTGTTTTTTCATATCGGCACAGATTGCATTTTCTTTTTGAATGCAGACGAATTGACCAAGCCACTTTCATCAGATTCGATGACAGGATGACTGGTCATTGCACAATTTTTTCAAGAGATCTCCGTAGAATATGCTTCCCAATGAAGTGACCTCGAAAGTGTGCCAAAGACAAACTTGTCTATATTGGCGAATAGCTTATCCAAGCGCATCCACGCGAGCACCGCTCACTAGTGTCTTATTGTTTCGCCACATCTATTTTCCGTGCTCCGTGAGACAATGGACGAATATATCAGATTTGAGCATAGCTGTGATGAGACTTAAGCAGTTGTGCCACCACACGATTTAGCGACGCTGACGCGTTATGCAGTTTCCTGTGCCGTATATACTAATTATGGGAGAAATCGGGCCAAAGGCTGAAAATAAAGTACAGTCGACCAAGCTGTTCAGCAGCGTATGTTTTATAAATCGGCGTTAGAACCTGCATTTTGCTAATTATAAGCATGCATAATTCGCCAGTTGCTGTTAGCCATTCTGACACAGAACGATGATGCTGAATGAGGACTAATGCTCTCGTGCCCAATCCTGATCGCGCGGAATAACACGCATAATTGCCCCTTAGCAAGGGCATTGATGTGCGACGCAGTGTCCGGGAACTTCATATGTAGTGAGCTTCTTGTCAACACATCGGAATAGACTTGAAGGATTTAAATTTGGATTTGCAGAATTCTAGTAAAGGGAGGCTTCCTACTTCTTGCACTCAGTGTATTATAATGACAGGTTCATCAAAGATTGATAATGAGCACAGCTTCTCCTCCGATACCAAGCGTTCTATTTGAATTTGTCATCTTAGAATTATTTGTAAAGATTCTCTTGAAATAGTTATTTGAGCTCAATGAAAACGTTTGACGGAGATAGTGAGGCAAGATGAACAAACCATAGGACATCCCCGGTCATTTTCTATCTGAGCTGCAGCGGGGCTGTCGTAGCTATTTGCTTAGAGGATGCTAACTTAAGGTCACCGACCTTACCTTCTGTACTAGAACCAGTATGAGTGTAGCGGATCGCGATTCGCTATCTCCTCTCCACAACCCTGAGCAAGCAAATACACTCCTCCGTTCAAAAATCAAACCTTATTTATCTGTTTTATTTACGGTAAAACCCGCCTATATCTAAATCTATAGGTTCTCCTAATAGTATTTAATAGTATTTCGTATAGTCACACCATCTTGTGATCACGTCCTTTTTATACCAGGGCATGTGTAACCCCGATTCACTCTCCCCCAACCAAATTGTGAATACCCACAATTCATATTTAGCTGTCTCCTCGTACGAGGCTCGCGTGTCAAAGACACCTATACGTCCCCCAGGACTTTCTTCACGCATAATTTGCTCAATGCGCCCTGTGGCTATGACACGAAAGACGCACAGCCTCACTGGTTCCGAGAGCGCCCGCGGGCAGACACCACGGTGCAACTTCGGACAACACGTCCATGGCTTCAATGGAAATGCACTCCAAGCCCTAGCAACCGAGTGCTGCACACCGCGCTCACCACGGGCGACGGATTACCTCGTCGAGAATTCGGAGGATGTCGACTACTAGTCGGATACTTCAATCCCAGTAGAGGAGGGCGAGGTGCTCCAACGTCGCAACGTGAGCCCTACTCGAGCCTTGCGGACACCGTGTCCGTTTCTCAACCTCTTGGCTTCCGGGGGAAGTGGTATCATTACCAAACACCTCGACGAGGCACAGGAGCAGCAGCTGGAGGCTGCCAAGCGCGCGAATTTACGGCTGATCCCATACCCTCGTGTGGGATACGGCTTTCGCTCGGCGGATCCCGCTACTGAAGCGAAGGACGCGATCGCTCCATCGTTGGACGATATGAAGTCGGGCCCCCAGCCACTACACAAGCTGACCTTGACCAACGAAAAGCTTTCCGAGCTTGCTTCTTAGTACCTCAAAAAATTCCAATGGATAGGTACCGTGCTCGCCTTCATGCTTAAAGAGGCGCTCCTGTACCCTCGATGTGGATGACTCCAGTGGTGCTCGCCCCTGGTGGAATCTTTGCAGATAATGAAGAGCTTTTTAGGCGATAGTTGGATCGGCACCTGAATCATTCCTCGCTGCTTTACTTACAGCGGAGCCACAAGTAGATGGACGTCCGCGTAGAACGCTATCTTTAGTTCGAGTTTGTTAAAATCAAGGCGCAGCGCCAACTTCCCACGTATTTTCGCCCTGTGATGTATGGATTAATCAATTACGCTCACGCGAGCTCTGTGATTTCTCACACGGTTGAGTTACGACCGCAACAGCTCAGGGCCATAGCTTGAGCTTAGCTTATGGCCCTTCGGTTTCCCCATTTATTGTCGAGGAGCGCGCCGTACGTCATGATCCCTCTGATCATAAGCGTCCACGACGTCTAGGTAGTCTTTAAAGTGGCACCGCAATTCTACCCTGATTCTTGGAGTCTCGGTATACCCGCCACTTTACAAGATACTGGGTCTGACCCTGTCGACAAAGTCGACCCACAAGGCGTTCCACGTGATAATGGATGCTACCGTTCTCGTCGAGAAGAGTCGGCGGCGGACGATGGCGACTTGGCCGATCGTTGTCCGGTGACTCGCGATGCTCTTCGAGCTATCAAGGACAAAGTTAGTCGCCATAGGGGCTCTGCTGAGCATCATGTCGAGTTAGCATATCGCTGTGTGAAAGACATCGAGAGCTTGGAGCACTTTGTGTACCGACTGCCTCATGTTGAGGATTATCGTGCTGTGTCGGAGCGGCTCCTAGCCGTCGAGCAGACGAATGCGTCACTCTGTGCGAAGGTAGAGCGCCTTTCGCCGTTGGAAACGAAAATTGTTGCATTCTATGCTCGAAACCAGTTGCTGGTTCAGCTTCTGGGTGGTCGAGCGCCATTAAGCGCTGACTTGACGTCAACGCTTCTGCGTTCACGTGCGCCGGATCTCGGTGCGGCTTAATCAAGCCCACATAAATCTCCGGGTGGGTGCGCATCTTTCTCCGAAGGTTTGGCGTATACGCAAAGCCCCGATTTGCCACGACCTTAAAAGGCTCGATAAACAGTGGACGAAGAGTTGTCTTAAAGACAACAGAAACTGCATGTGTAGGATGGTTTTTAGCATTTAATAAAACAAGGTATTTGACCTCAAAGTTTTCAGCATTTCCTCTGCTTCTTCCGTCTGCATATTCTTGCTGCATGTCTTGGCGTTCAGCTATCGCAACGCGAACGTGTCGTAAGACACTCAATCTGGTAAACAGGAAATCATAAACTTCTTTACGCACAGTAAGGGAGCTGAAATCCGCTAGCCGCTTGGCTATTCCTTCCCCACCAAGCCCTGAGCCATGTGATGGCGGCGTCAGCGGGACGCAAGGATTAATAAGCCTGTTCACGTAGAATGGCGCATAGCCGGTAGATGAATGCACTGTATTGTTCATAGCAAACTCTACGGGTGGCAACATCGTGTTCCAGCGCTTCGGAATCTCAGCGCAGACGCTACGAAGAGCGTCTTCAACGACGCGATTCACGCGCTCAGTCTGATCCACTGTTGACATAGTCAACTTGGTGCCCAGCACCCTGGAGAGTGTAGACCAAAACTTCCCATTAAAGCGCGGGTCTTTATTAGCGACAATTGCTCCCGGGAGTTTATGTTGTCAAAAGACACGATCGGCAAACACCGTCGCTATACGCACACCGTCGAAGGTGTCCGGCACTACCGCAAGATGAGCCATCTTGCTTAAACGGCTCACAAAGACCACCACACATGTGTTGCCTGCCGAGCTCTCCGGCAGGCCAAACACAAAGTCCATACTCCCGGACTGCCAACACCCGGAAAAACTGGCCAGCGGTGCCGCCGTATTCGGAAAGGGTTTCACCCTCTGATACGTCTCACGCGTGGGCAAATATGTGCTCTTCCATTTGTACGGCTTGGGCCACCAATAGTGGCAACTCACCGAGCTGTACGACTTCTCACAACCGAGATGACCACTGAGTGGGATGTCGTGGGCCTGATAGAGGATACGGTATTTGGAATTCTCATCATGAGGAACCACAACTCGTGGCGTATCGGCTTTATTTCTTGTTCAATTTTACAAACACGAGCCTGCAGCAGCGCTACACACATACTGTCACCCGCGTATGCGGCGCGGATAAAATCCGTCACTGACGACGTCATCGTCGTGAAATGAGCAAGCTCATAGTACGGTCTGCGTGTCAATGCATCAGCCAAAGTATTATACTTTCCTGGCTTAGACTTCATCTCGAAGTTATATTCTGCAAAGAATGAGAGCCACCTGGCCATCCTCTGCGAGAGGTGAGACGACTGCGACGCAGTGCATAGTGACGCATGATCTGTGTAGATCACAAACGGCTTTGAGCCAAGCGGGTGTGCTCTGGACTTGACAAGCGCATACTTCATCGCAAGTAATTCCTTGTCGTGTACTGGGTAATTCCTCTCCGCAGCCTTAAGCTGGCGAGATTCGAACGCGGTCCCCAGGTCTCGCCATTCGGCGTCTATTTGCAGCAGTGCACAGCCGACGGCAAAGTTCGAAGCGTCACAGACGACACTCAAAGAAGGATGGGGGTCCGGCAACACCAGCATTAAACCATGAAAGAGGCTGCCTTTGACACTGTAAAAAGCCTCGCGATGCTCGGTGTCCCAACACCATTCCGCATCTTTTATGAGGATATTCGACAATGGACGTGCCATTTCACATAATTTGCGCTAATCGTGTGCAAGTAGTTGGCGAGGCCGAGCTATTTTTGCAAGTCTTCTTAGTTCTTTAGAACCGGCCAGTCTACAGTGGCCTTGACCTTAGCAGGATTTACTCGAAGGCCATGCTTTCCAATGAAGCACCCTAAAAAGGGATTTCTCCCGCGCCGAAGATGTACTTATCTGCATTAGCGTACAACTGATTCATGCGCACGCACTCGAGCACCGCTCTCAGGTCAACAATGTGGCTTTCCTAATCTGTCCACCCTTACCCCGCATGACTGTGGACGAGATGTCGTCGAAGTATGTCGGTGCATACGTCCGGTGAAGCCATAACAACTGCGTCACAAGACGATTAACTGTCGCTGGTGCATTTGACAGCCTTTGGGGTATCACCAGCCACTCCCAGAGCATCCCGCTCACCTCTTTCAGCGGAATATCACTTGCTCTCATGAGCAATTGGTAATACCATCGACCAAGTCGAGTGCACGGTACTTTATACATCCAACCATGTTGTTCTGGAGAACATCCTTTCTAGGAATCGGCGTCTGTGCCGAAATGGTGGCAGTGTTGAGCTTATTATAAGCGTGAGCGATACGCCACTCGCCGTTCGGCTTCCGGACACAAAACGTGGGTGTCGAATGGGGGGACTTGCTCTCACTTACCATTTTTTGCGTCGTGATTCGCACGAAAGAACGCGTCAATGACGTCACACAGCTCCTTGGGCAGTGACCATTGACGTGTTACGCAGTATTTGGCTCCCGGAACCAGGTGATCTCGAGACGCACACCTCGGTCCGGAGGTAGGACTGACGTCTTAAAATTTCTTACTACAAGGGATAGTACGAATCTGAGGGATTGTTTAGGATCGAAGATCACTTCGCACGTTCAGCGCCTCTTGGTGTCCTCCAGGATTGCTTCATACAGAAGCGACGACGAGTTGATCTCCTCGTCCGAGCGTATAATGACCGCTTTGGCTAAGTCGCCTGCCATCAAGGCACTGCCGAACTCTTCGAAGGACATTTGGTCAAGTTCAAGAAGAGCATCCACCCCGGGAATCACCTCAAGGGTGACGTCGCTGTCTTCCTCCCCGTCATACCGTTGACAAGTGTATAACTGTGCGCTATTGTATACGGTGGACACACCCTGGGTCAGGTTCGACGCCCTGCGTGTTGCAGATATCATAAGGCTTCACCGATTCCTCTCTATAGATGTTTTGCGTCTCATCGAATCCAGTGTTAACACGCATTCGGCGTCGTCCAGTGTCCCCACTCCCTGCTCCATCGGAGCTTTGATGTTATCAAAAACATCCGACGT